GGAAAAGACCCTAATGTTGGGAAAGTGTGAGGGCAATTGGAGAAGGGGACAACAGAGGATGAGATGGTTGGATAGTGTCATCAAAGCAACCAACACGAATTTGACCCAACTCCGGGAGGCAGTGGAAGACAGGAGGGCCTGGTGTGCTCTGGTCCATGGGGTCACGAAGAGTCGGACACGACTAAACGACTAAAGAACGACAAAAATAATTGCATATGGATGTTCAGAAACTAGAGAGTATTTCTTTTTGTTTGACTCTTTTACCTGTCTTCAGCATTAAAACTTCATATTATGAATACAGTAGATATCAGTCAGATGGCCCTGTGTTATCTCCCCTACACTCAGTACAGCTTGCTGAGAAACTGCCTGTGGGTTTGCCAAAGCCATCTGGTGGCCACTGTGGAAAACTGAGTCTAGGACTAGATAAGATTTCAGTCTGATTCAGAGAGCTCATCTTATGGTCTTCAGTACTGTACAATCAAAAGAGTACTTATTATACCAAAATATGTCTCAGAAGTTCAATGGCTTACTGCCTATCAGGCAAAATAAAAGAAAAATAAAGAAGACGAAACCATTATGGCGCCTTAAAGACTAACTTGTGTTTCAATGTGAGCTTTTGACAACTCCACTTCCATCCAATTTCTCTATATTTTTACTCCGTTTTATTAATCTGCTTTTTGTAAATTACATTTTTTTAAGGCAGTGACACCATGCATAGGCACAGAATTTTTTTAAATTTTTATACAAGTCCAAAGTCACAATAATTTAAAAGCATAGTGAAACAAAAGTACATGGGGGGAAAAAAAGAAAATAAATTAGACGTATTTCAACGAATGTTGCGTTCAAAATTACCACGATATAAAACAGAATATATCTAAAATGGGACTTCTGCCCATTGATGACCAGGGTGGCACGCTCCCGGGTAGTTTTCCTGTTGGATTGGTGCCTGCCCTCGCTGCGGGTTCGTTCCGCGTCTGTACCAGGAATTGCAACAGGAAACAACCAGAAGACAAACACGGCCGGGCTGCGGCGCTGCCACCAGTAGCGGGCCAGAGATGCCGGGCTTGTCTTCGAACAATGTGGCCCTTAAGGACTACCAAACTTATCGTCAGCATACAACACTCCTGTGGACGAGAGATGGAAGTGCTGGACGAAGATCAGCTACACTCAATAAAGTACACGTGATTCGGAAGCGAGGCGAGCCTTGCAAACAGACCTGAGACGCGGCGTCCAGAAAGGACTGACCGACCATTCTGTTAATACTGGCCACTTCATAACAGCGTTGCTAGCAGGGGCAAAACCCCCAGTACTAGATAAGTCGATACCTCCTGTACAGCAGCGCTTGAAACCCCGTAAGCCTTTGCATTTTAACTTCTCACCTCTTTTTCATTGAGTCTGCGGGTTATTCAGATACGATAGTCTGAAGTGCGCAATTTAGGAATCGTACAAAAAGTCCGATACGAACACTTAGGGACAAGAGATGTGAAGAGGTAGAAGTTAGGAGCGAAGTGAAGAGGGTCGAGAAGTGACGGGATTTTACTACTCCCGTGCCAGTACGTTGCCCTGGGAGTAAGCGTCCCTGACTAAAACAGAATCTGTTTCCAAGGGAACGCGAGCAGGAGGGCTCCCGGCGCCTCTCGCCCGCTGCAAACTCACTCTAGCCTCGCTACCTTCCACACCGAAGCAATTATTACCTCTCCTGTAATCATTTTCCTCCGACCTAAACTGATAGTTCCCAATGAGGGGGAAAAATTTTGAGCGGCCACCCAAAGAAAACACACACACACCCCCGGGGGCCAGGAGCTGCGACGGCAACACGTTTGAAGCGCCGGCCCGCCTTCCCGATGGCATCCGCGCAGCGACTCAGAAGGAAAAACAAGATGGCGGCCGGAGCAAGGGCGGGGAGAAGATACGCACTCTTTCAATCCGCCGGCGCGCGAGACGTTCAGCCCGCACCTCCTCTCTCGTTGCTGATTGGAAGAAACGACCAGCCGTGGATCACGTGGTCCGGCGCCCTTCCTTTCTCGTTCGTGCCGCCCCTCCCCCCCACGCTGCAGTTAGAGCTCGACCAGGCGGCCGCGGGTGCCGGTTCTGCGCGGGAATCCGAGGTTCGAGTGGCTTCATCCGGCACCAGTTCGTGTGGGGGGGGGATTGTGGGTAACAAGTCGTCGTCGACGGGCTCAGCCCGCTCGGTGAACAAGGAGCCCCGTGCGGGCGAAGGAATCACGAGAGACAAGGCCGCTTCTCAAACGACAGCGCCGAGAGAGGTTAGCCGTTTCGTGAGGGAGACGGGGGGGGAGGAGGGGGAAGGAGCGCTTTTGCTAGAGGCGAAGAAGCGTCGTTTCCGTCGGCTCCTCCGTCTCCCGCGCGCTCCATTGTGTGGAGGAGACAAAATGGCGGCGGCTGGGCCTGCGGGCGGGGGGGGGAGGAGGAGGAAAGGAGAGAACGGTAATGGCGCGCGGGCAGCTCGACGGAAAACGGGCGGTGGGTAGAGGGGAGGGGAAGGTGTCCGCGTTCCTGCGGTCTGTTTCCTTTCCTGGTCCCAGCCCCATTGGGGTGCTTGCGGTTCACGTGGCTGGAGGAGGGATGCTCCCGCCTGTGCTCTTCCCGGTACTCGGAGAAGGTTGCCTTTCTATTCGCTGGCCTGCCTTCGCGGCCGGTCTCCTTTTGAGGGGAAGCGGATGTTGGGTTTGGGGATTTTTGATGTCTTCCTCATGGCACTTTCCGACCTTCGATCGGCCTTCTAGGCTCCTCCTTTGTTTCGCTCTCGATTTCGGCCTTTCCTTTCTCTCCCCCGTTACTTAATTTTCTTTCTCCCCCCCCCCTCTCGCCATGCCTAGCAGGGTTTTAAAAAAAACTTACCCCATCACCATAAATTATTGTGTAATCCTTATGTGTTCCTTCTTTCTGTTGGTAGCTAAGCTTTCCCAGGCAGTTTCTGGGGCCCGGCGCCCCTTACACGTGGTTTAAAATGCAGCATGGGTTGGTACGTTTCTCTTGTGAGGAAACTCGTGGCAAGTTTGTGCGCTGTTACTTTCCTGCAGATACGAAACTGCTCAAGAGTCCATCAACTCTTCCCTCTCTTGCAGTTGGTAGCCTTTTATTAAGCAGAGTGCATAGTAAAAGTGTATTCCGATGAGCAGAGGTTCTTTCTCTAGCCCATTGGTTGGGAATTACCGGTAATCTTATAAGTTTTTTTTAATGCAAACTTATTGATATATGCACTTGCTACTTATATAAAATGATACTATATAGAATTACAAAAATTTATGACTTTGCTTTTGTGTAGAGCAGTGGTTCCCAGCCTTGAGTCTCCAGATGTTATTGGACTAAAATTCCCAGAAGCTTCTACCACTAGCTATACTGGCCAGGATTTCTGGGAGCTGTAGTTCAAAAACATCTGGGGACCACTGGAGTTAGAGGGACTTTGACTTGGAATCTCATTCTGTAGGTACCATGCTAAAGTCAAGTTCCTTCCCAACCAGTTTTACAGAAGAAACTTCTAAGTTAGGGATTCTCAACTAATTATCATGTCTCTGGTATGATTATGTTGTTTTTGCTGTTATCTGCACCCTGGGATTCCTTTACCTGCCAACCATTTTACTGAACAAAGCATCAAAGGAAAAAACTGAATATGTATCAAACAGGGATCTTAAATCATTAATAAGTGTGAAATGCCACATTAACTCTTAGTTTGCAGCTTGTATTTGCTAACCAACAACCCTCTATCTTTGGATCATGTATAATTTTTTGCCATGTAGTCCCACTCTTATGTCCAAGAAGGTGAACTTGATCCATGAAAACTCTTACTAAAATATAGCAGTTAATCATTATGATGCCACAAAGTTTTTGTCTTGTTTTATTTTATTTTCGTTTTTTTGTCTGGTATGTTTTACAGTGGCACTGTGGGAGGAAGTGGTATTGTTGAATAACTTAAATATTCTGTAGGGCATAAAATGGCACCAAGTCAAAGAGTTAGTGGTTGAATTGAATAATTACAATAAATTATGTAATTATAAAATGTAATTATATACTGTATGTAATGATTTCTAATGTTAGAAATTGTTATGGAATAGTACATGAACTAGATGTGCTGGACAAAGTACTGTATAGCATAATGCATTGAGCAATTAAAGCTAAGCTATATAACTTAAAGTTGACTTTTTTATGTCCTTGGTTTTATACTTGAATATAAGACAAGCTGTACCTGGCTGTCTTGTACTGTTTAATTTATGAGATGATTAAGATTGTGACTGTGGATTGTTGCAGCCATAGCTCTTGTTGCTTCAACAGCACCAGTGCAAGAACATTACCACTACTATATTCTATTGCTCTACCACTCCACTCAGTCTCTACCAAGCAAAGCAGTATATTCTCAAGCTAATAGGGTGGATAAAAGTCATTGGTTTTTTAAAAAGCAAACTTATTTAAATCATTATTTAAATGTTAAAAATGTATATTTTTTTTGTTTTAAATCATCCAAAAATGTCTGGTTCGTAAAATTTAACTTGTGGTGTAAATCAAATCCACTCTGGTGCAGGCAACTCTAAGTTAAATTGTATTATAGATATGTGGCTCTGATATTCAAAGTTAGCTAAAATATTAGACACAGTTAACTTTTATACTATACAGTATATATATTATTAGTCCTCTTTTTAATATTTACATACACAAGTATACTACATTAATTTCTGGTTGTGCTTCAGTTAAGTTATTTTAAAAAATGTATCAAAATTGCTTCACTAGAAATGGACCAAAGCAGGTAGCGCTTCTGATTTCATGGTTTCCATATATTTCATTTGTAACCAGCACATATAAAAATAATACAGAATTACAGCATGGTCATACATGCTGGGCAATCTCAGATGGCTGGTCCTGCATACTGAATGGACTTCCACCTTGGTTTGTATATCATTATGTTTGAACTGCGAACTCTGGCTTACCCAGGGAGCGACAGGGTTTCTGGTTCATATACACAATTCACAGCTCATCAGTGGAAAGACTTATGAGTTGGTCAGCTGAAGGAGATTTTTTATTTATTTATTTATATGCCGCCTATCTGGTTTTGTGGGGGGCTTCCAAATACATACAGTGGGGTCTTGACTTGAGAACTTAATCCGTATTGGAAGGCGGTTCTCAAGTCAAAAAGTCTGTAAGTCAAGTCTCCATTGACCTACAGTGCATTGAAAACCGATTAATCCCGTAACAGGCCGTTTTTGTTCCATTTTGGTTTTTTTCTGGTCTGTAAGTCAATTCTCAGGCTGCAAGTCAAACCTAAATTTTGCGGCCAGAGAAGTCTGTAACTCAAAAAGTCTGTAAGTCAAGCCGTCTGTAAGTCAAGGGTCCACTGTACATAAAATGACATGTAAATATAAATTTACATTATATAAGGCAGTATATAGTGTAGTGCATTGCTAGTGCATGCTGCTTGAATGTCATAATGCAGAATTCTCATGGAACTCTGATATTATTACATCTGATTCCGAATAGTGACATGGGTAAGGAATAAGCATATTTCATATCTCTGGATGAATAATCTAGCATTATGTGATACAAAAGTTCATTTCTTAATTTTCTGAAAATGTATACAATGTGTAATTGTATTTTAATGTTATAAACATACTTTTTCCTATTATATGTATGTACTTGAAAACTATGAAACTAAAGGAGTTTCTCTTGTAGCGTAGATGCTTAATATTGTGCTATGTTATTGCAGATCTAGGTAATGTTGTAATACATATTGGTAACTTTTTATCTTCAGAATACTAGAAATAGAAGTACCAGCAGAACTTGGAAGAAGGAAATTTTTTGAATCAGCCACGATTTCGAAGCAAAAATGGTAAGAATTTGCCATTTGGAAGTCAAAACCAATATCACTTATTGGTCATTAATTTTTTGATTTTACTTTCAGCGACCAATGCGTATTTTTGTGAATGATGACCGCCATGTCATGGCAAAACATTCTGCTGTTTATCCGACCCAAGAAGAACTGACAGCAGTTCAGAACATGGTCTCTCATACTGAACGTGCGCTGAAAGCTGTGTCTGACTGGATTAATGAGCAAGAAAAAGGCAGCGGTGAGCAACAGCCAGAACCTGAGACCATGGAGACAGTAGTTGAAGAAGAAAACAAAGAAGGAAGGTAAGTAATGTGGTAGATTATCTGTTTTCACTCATGTTGAAAAGTTATTCGCTTAACCAAGTTTCTAAGTACTGGAGACCAAAGGTGACCATTGCAATCCACTACCAATTCATTGGAAGGCATAACGTTCTGTCTCGTCCTCTTCTTCTGTTTGTGTCTCTGAAGGTGCCTCTGGTTGTAATAGTGAAGGAGAGGTAAAGCCTGGCTGTGGTGCTGCTGCCCACTCTTCTGGTTATTTAATTTAGCAAAATAGGATATTCATGAATGTTCCACAGCATTCCATCAATGCATGCAATAGTTTCTAGGGATTTGCACAGAATCCCATATTGCCTAGATCTATTCATGTCACAAGAACATGCTGGATTAGACTGAAGGCCTGACTAGTCCAGAATTCTCTTCAGATCATGCAATAGCTAACCAGTTGTCTGTTGGAATCTCACTAGTAGGACATAACTAATCAAACAAACAAACAAATAAGGCAAGAGCAAGCTCTTTATCCAATCTTACATTCTCCATCACCTGATAAATTGAGACATGCATATCATACTGGAGGGGATGCTTGGCTCCCTTGACCAGTAAGCTATTGATATTCCTGAATTCCATGCCTGCTTAAAGTAAGTCCTGCTAAGTTCAGTGCAGTTTATTTTTCAGTAATTGGTTATGGGATTGCAGCCTAAGATTGTTAGTGTAATTGGCAAGGTGTAGGTATATGTAATTAATATTACAGTGGTGCCCCGCTTGACGATGAAATCGCTTTACGATGAGTTTTTTGCGATTGCAAAACAATGGTTCCAATGGGGTTTTTTCGCTTGACGTTGATTAGGAGCCTGCTTCGCGAACCGTTTGTTCGCAAAACAACTATTTTTCTGGTTCCGCAAAATGGCTTCCCTCCCTTCGCAAAATGGCTGCCTTCTGGACCCCTGCTTCAGAAGACAGCAATTTTAAACAGCTGATCGGTGATTCTCTATGGGCAATCTTCGCTGGACGATGAGGTCTTTCCCCATTGGGACGCATTAGCCGGGTTTTCAATGCATTCCAATGTTTTTTTTTTTTCACTTGATGACAATTTCACTTAACAACAGCGATTTTCCTGGAATGGATTATTGTCGTCAAGTGGAGCACCACTGTACTGTAGTTAAAAGCATGAATTATGAGATTAAATTTTTATTCAGCATTCTCATAGCGTACACTGTTTGTTCAAGTCAAGAATAGAGTGTCAGGAATAGTATGACCACAACATCTATAAACAGTTAAGAATACATGCAGTACTTCTTGATGAGGCAGCTTTCTTATTCTATGTAGGGAGTGAGCCTAGAATCTCTTCCAATAATGGTAGTATTATAAACTTAATGTTTTTCAGGAAATTTAGCGGAGTGGTGACGGTGATGGTAGAAATCTAGTGTTCTAAGTGGATGGGGTGTGATCTAGTATAATTAAATTTTATGTTTGGAACTAAAAAGTATTTATAGTTAATTTTATCTGCTACATTTATATTACTAACTGATGCTGGAAAATAATGGCTGAAATCCAATAGTGTAAATTTATGTCATGTAAATCTAATGATGTCATCATCCATGGCTGTATTTTGGTAATTAAAACTTTCCTCCTCCCCCCTCCAAAGTTTTTAGGATCCCTTTGGTCCTGGGGAAGCCTTTGGCAACAGCAGGATGTGAGAGAGTCTTAAATATTTGAAAATGCCACAGGTCCTGCCGTAGTGACTGGTGATGGTGAATTTTAGACATTTAAGACTTGCAGTCCCTAAAGTCTTCCTCAGGATCAAATGGAATTCTGAGCGAGCCTAGAAACCTTCTGGAGGCGGAAAGGAAACTTCTAATTGCCAAAGTATGGTGGTGGTTGAGACCATCATCAGATTCATTGCAATCTAACTTTACATTACTGGATTTCAGCCTATATCTCCTTAGAAATGAAAATTCCTGGGACAGTAAGTAGGACAAGGATAAATATGGTGTAATTATTGTAACAGTGATTAAGATAATTAGCGGCAAATTAGGAAGTCCTGGACAGGAACTTACAGTGGACCCTCTACTTATTTATTTATTTATTTATTAAATATATACCCCGCCCCTCTAGACCATGTCTACTTGGGGCGGCTTACAACATAAAATAGGACAATATAAAATATAAATAATCATAAAATACTTACAGAATTAATCTGTATTGGACCAGTGGCT